AAGAATAAATTAACTGAGGCAGTTAAAAGATTTTTAAAAATGGAAGTCATAAAACATTATTGAAACCATTTAAGGCAAATCTCAACACTAGGGAAGCTAAGGCAGCAAGATCAATACTCTGCATGGTAGCCTAGGCTTTGTGAGTCCATTTCAAAGATACCAAAAACAAAATACTAAAAACAAACAAAAACCTAACAAACCTGTAAGACTCACACTTCTTGACTTTAAAACTTATTATAAAGGTATAAGTAACCAAAACTACATGGAAGTGACATAGATAGACAGACATACATAGATCAGTGGAACAGATGGCCACAAACAAACCCTCTCATATCTGGCATATGCTTTTAGGTAAGTGTGCAAAACAGTATGAAAAGATCAGTCTTTTTAACAAATGGTGCTAGGGAAAGTGAGTATTTACACACTGAATAATGAAGTTGAATGTTCACCTAAGAAAAAATGAACTCAAAGTGGACCAAAGACTTGTACCTAAGACCTAACACTGTTAAACTAAGAAAAACAAGGAATAAAAAGCCTGACAATGTTGACTTTAGCAATGATTCATTGGATAACAGAAATCACAACACTGAAAACAGGTACGGTGGCTCACACATGTACACTGTAACTCAGGAGGCTGAGACAGGAGGACAGCATTAGAGTTCAAACCCAGCCTACACAGCCAATTTAGTTTGAGGCTAGACAGAAAGATACGTAGTGAGACCTTGCCACCAAACACAGATTCCAGACAAGTTTAATCTAATACCCAACATCCTGAGAAAGCCTCATATGTTTCTGATTAAAGTTTAATCACAGATTTGTACCAGAAATACTTCTTGACAGGGATAAGCCTAACCAGACATAAAATAGAAAAGCCTTTCCCAAAGATATTGTACATGACAGACAAAAAGGAGACATTTTTCATTTGTAAAAAAATGTAAAAGAAAATTCTTAAGGCTTGACATGTAGGAGGACAACAAGGACACACAAGATGTTTATTTATCATTTTGAGTGATAACTAAAAACATTTTTGTTACAGTGGCCTTTTATGCTTTTCAAGACAAGGTTTCTCTGTGAATCCTAGGCTGTCCTGGAAGTTATTCTGCAGACCAAGCTGGCCACAAAGTCTGAAAAATACCTCTGCCTCCCGAGTGCTGGGAGTAAAGGCCTGCACCACCACACCCACAGTTAGTGTCCTTTATAACTTTTTATAATGCAAATATTTTGTAAGTAGCAAAGGAAATAATAGCACACAGAAAAGGTAGTACTGATCTCCTGGTTTCTCCCTCTACCCTGGTCCTGGGCAACCTGGCCTTGTTCCTGCTCCTGATTCCTCTCCTTCTCTCAGCCACGTGGTTTCTCCTGAGCACCAACCTGTCACTCCATACCAGTCCTCTCCAGGGCCTGTGCCTTCTCCTTAGGGAGTCTTTCCTGGTCTAGGGGCCTCTAATCCTCAGGTTCCCTCCTAGTCCTGGGATAAATCTCATCTGATCTTCTCCAGGTGACCTTCCCTCACCCCAGGATCTGTCTTTGACAGGTGATTGCTCCTCGCTGACAGCTCAAAGGCTGTCAAAGTTTGCATGGCTGCATTGTACATGCTTTAAGTGGCTGTATAAGGGCCAAAGGCAGCTCCATGACTCCAGTTTCAAGATCCCAAATTGCTGAGCATCGTTCTAAACCACTCCCTTTCCTTTTCCATTTATGAGCAAGCACCTCCTGTCTGTTCTCTCTCTTTCCATTTTTGCTCATGATTGGTTAACAACCACACTTCGTTCCCTTTCCCAATGAACTCCATGTGGGTTTTTTGAGTTTGGTGGATCGTGTTTCACTGCCCAAAGCTGCAGCAAAGAAAAACAATAATAACAATCATCATCATCTGCAGAATAACTATTAACAGTGCATCTGTTGGGCTAGCACAATACCTCAATTTAAGAGCACTTCTTGTTCTTCCAGAGTACTGGAGTTCTATTTCTACCTCCTAAACCTGATGACTCTCAACCATGTGTATATACAGCTCCTAAAGATGATAATTTCTCCTGATCTCCACGGGTACTTCCATATGCATGTACATATATACACATAATTTTAAATAAATATTATATATATATAATTTTTGAGACAGGGTTTCTCTTTGTAGCACTTGCTGTCCTCCAACTCAGAGATCCACCTGCATCTGTCTCCACAGTGCTGAAATCAAAGGCTTGAACCACCAGTGTCTGGCTAAATTCCTTTTTAAGTGTATTTGCTTTACTATTGATTAACAAGAAATCCCCAAATTAAGTAACTACAGTAAAGCTCCAGAGTGCAACAGTTAAGTGTCTTTGGCTAGACTAGAGGTCACTGCCATACTTCCTCTCTGACACCTTGATTAAAAACTTGGCTATCAGTAGGGTCTAGTAGCTCAAGGTTGGACGACCTGTAACTTCAGGACTCAGGAGGATAAAGAATGGAGGTACACAGAGTTTGAGGACAGCCTGGGCAATGTAGAGGCAGGATAATCAAGCCTGAGAGGTCCTCTTGTGCTGCATAGAGAGCTCAAGATGAGTGTGCACTACATGAAGTCTTGTGTAAGGAAGGGAGGAGCCCACAGACTTTCACAAAATCTACACACCAAACAGAACAAATTAAAACCTTATCATTTTTTATATCTACACTCAGTCTCTAAAGCTTAGTAAGCAATAACCTAAAAGATTTTAAAAATATTTCACTTTGGGGAATATTTTTGGGCTGCCAAAAAAAGTTGCAAGGGCATCTTTGAACAGCAAGAAAAGCAGATGTAAGATACATACACAACAATATATAGGGAAAATCTCTAAAATGTTGTGAAAAATCAATCACTACTTAAACAGCATATATAACAAGTATTCTTTCTCTACTGCTTTAAAATTGGGTAATGGGGGACCTGTCACCGTGATCAATCAATCCCAGTTACCCCAGAGGCTGAGACAGTAAAGTAGGCTACCTTATACCCAGGAATTTCAGACCAGCCATGGCATCATCACAAGAACTAAAGAAATTTAAAAATTCGGGTAAGCAGTAATTTGGATTTCAGTGAGGCAAAGAGTTGAAACCCCACATCCTCCCTTTACTCTCAATTGCATTTTGACAATAAATAAGAGAAATATGTTGCACCACATACATGTGAGCTTCATAAATCCACTTTAGCTTAGCTTCCAATGCTAAAATTCAGTCACGTCTACTTGGTTAATTATAGGCTAATAAGCTATTGCATCTAGAATAACGAAAACTAGCAGTTACTCTTTCCAAGGTGCAAATAATCCCAAAGCAAGCACCAAAGTGCTTGCAAAGTAGGTATGAACTTTATTTCCAAACTTACAGCAGTAGCTGCTGTGGTGGAAGAGGGTGCAGACATTGTATCACTCGAGAGGCCGTCTGTTGGGGCTCCTATTGCTACAATGAGAGAGATGAGAGCTGAAACCAATCATTGGAGTTAGCAGCTCGCTCCTCGATCAAGGAGGACTTCATAGCAGTGGCTGGAAGTGTATCCCAGAAAGAACTAGTGGAAAGGAATTGGAGGCGGAGGCACCTCCAGAAGAGTTTGCTTTTTAGAGCAGGAGAGACTGGGTGGCTGGCAGAAGGAAGCAAGAAAATAGATCAGAAACCACAACACAGGGGAAACACCTCTCCCAGAGCTGAAGGGCTGGACTCCATTGAATGGGATGAAATGGAAAGGTCAAGGAGTCCAGGGAGGAACAGGAATTCTGTGCTGGGTCTGGAGCAAAGCCCCCCTCATTTCCTAGTCTCATTTTAATCCAGCTGGAGAGGTAGCTCTGGCTGGGGGTGAGGGGAAAAATGTTTGGGGGCAGGTGCACCTGGTGGCGCTTGGATTCTCCTGCCTATGTGTAATGCTCTTCGGCTGTGCATGGGAGCTTTAGGTGGGCTCACATGTTCTAAACTGAATCCTGAGCACACGATAAATTGTCAGATTTTTGGCTGCATTTGTAAACACCGGCCGGCGCTAGCACCTGTAGCCATCCTGAGTTTGGTTTAGGCACCATCACTTAGCAACGCCACCTGGGCTCTGCCCAGATGCTTTCTGGAACCTGTAGTTCGCAGCCACCCTCTCAGAGTGTGTGTCCTGGGCAGGCCGTGGCATGGCCCTGGCCAGGGATTGGAGGCCGCACTTAGCATCCATGCGCAGCGCGCCTGGATCTTCTGAGCCTGTGCAGCCACTGCCGGTGCGAGACACCTGCAAGCCATGAGGTGGCAAACACCAAGTTATGGTAGGGGCTTTTAACATCCCCCAGGGGTGGAGCCTTGAATGGTGGGTATTCTAAAGGTGAAGAATGAACTGAGATGAATCCAGGGGAGTGCTCGCCTTGGCGCCCCGAGGACTGGGTTTGGAAAGGTGCTACCAAACACCATCTGGACTCACACAAGCCTCTCTCTACCTGCACCTCCCTATTATGGTGGAAGCTTAACCCAATCTGCCTTCTCTGACTCCTCAAGGAACCCGAGGTGTACAGAATGGCAGTTAACTGATTACTTCTCCACCCATACCTCCTGTTGAATGTGAGCCCACCAACTCCTGACTCCCCCCGCCCCCAACATGCACACATTCGTCTCTTGTCAGCAGGAGGAAACCAGACTTAAACCCACGACCCTATACCCGAGGAGTCTGCGTTGTTTAGGTGGAAGCCCTACAGGTTTCTATATACAAAGAAGTTGGAATGTTTGGTAGACCCGTTCCAAACACTGCCCTCCAGGTGACAAGGGTAGGCCCTCCCCTGGAGTCATCTCAGTCCAGACTCCACACTTAAGAAGTCTGCCCTTTGTGGCTTCACCCCTGGAGGGCATTAAAATCCCCACCTCTGGATTCACCTCTTGGCTTCCTGTTTTCTGTTCCCCTGGGGCCACCCAGGAATTCTTTGCTCATGTTAAACCATTTTGCTGTGCCTCTTCAGGTCACCTGGTCCTGTCACTCAGGCCTCACTAGCCAATCAGAGCCTCTAGCGTACCCGCCAGTCAGATGGGCGGGTTCTTCCTGGAGCCTAGCTTTCTGCTCAGCTCTTTGCCTCAGGAAGTTAGAAGTTGTCTTCTGTCCTGTGCCTTTGGTTCTGGGGAGAACATTGGTCATCTCAGCAGCTGCACTGTGGTGAGTGAGGTGCTGCTCTTCACAAACCGAGAGGAGCGGTGGGCCAAAGTGAGTGAGGGACTGCTTCCCCCATGTGAGGAGAGTGGCTGGCCCTGATGAGTCAGGGGCTACTGTCCTCAGAGTAGGTGGAGAGTCCGACTGAGGCTCGGGAGCCGGCGTAGTTGGTTTTCTCTAGGCTGGGTGGGAGCCAGAGGCAAGACACAGAGTTCACCATATTCTTGCCTGGTTCTGCCTGGTCCAGCGTGGTCCTGTGTGATCCTAGCTGGCAGCCTCTGAATAACTTCACTCCCGGGCAGAGGATTGGGAGAGAAACTGTGTTTAGAAATATCCTAGTTATTGATATCTCTGTGGTGCTCATATCATCACACATTTGCTAAAGTCGGAGATTACTAATCTCTCTAGTATCTTCCAGAAGTTCTGCGTTTTTAACATTTAACATTTAGGTTTAGGATCCAGATGAAGTTAGTTTTTTGGAGCTTGTAAATCGTATCTCCAAGTGTGGTAGTATTTTGTTTGTACAAATAAAGCCTGCCAGGCCATGGTGGCACACACCTTTAATCCCAGCACTTGGGATGCAGAGGCATGTGAATCTCTGTGAGTTCAAGGCTACCCTGGGCTACACTAGATTTTCTAGTCTAAAAGAGAAACAGAACCAGGTGATGTTGGTTCAAACCTTTAATCCCAGTACTTGGGAGATGGAGACAGGAGTAATATGGCTGGGTGGAGAGAGGAATATAATGCAGGAGGAGACTGAAGCTCATTGTGTTCAGTCTGAATATTCATAGGGACAGGATTGCTCTTTTGTTCTGAGGATTCAGGTTAAGAACTAGGGGTTGACTGCTCTGCTTCCCTGATCTTTCACCATTAACTCCTATATCTGACTCTAGGTTTTTATTATTAAGACCAATTATAATTAGTGCTACAATCTTCATTGCTAAACTGTAATGCAGAAGAGTAGAATTCATGGTAATAGAATTGATAGTTTATGGATTTACCAATCTTAGAAGGTGTTAAGTCACACAAAGCAGAATTTATGTAAGGGAGGGTTGTATCCCAAATACCCCAAAGATAAGTATGCTAACCACACCTGTTAGAGATTAGTATTTTTTAAATGTAATGTTTGTTCACCAGGATTAAGTAACCTTTATAGTCCCATAACAAAAGAGACAACCCTGACTTACAACCAGCCAAAAGGACCACCTCCCCATCAAAGGCCTCTAACATGCTGCACAAGAGGACATTATAGTGTCACAACCAATGTTAAGTCCCAGTGTGCAATAAACTTATAATAATTCTAGAACAGTGGCTTCTCCAGTCTTTTTGAAAATTAGTTTTGAGACAAAGTCTCCTATATTAATTGAGGAGGACTTGAACCCTGTCTGAGGTCACACAGGGCATTGCTCTTGTTTTCCTCCTGACTAAACACCATAAATTCTTGGATTACAAGTCTATAGCATCACAGAGTTCTAAAATTACCAGTTTGAGTAACATAGTTGACTGTCCATTGCAGTAACAGGAAAAGGAATTGTGTGTGGAACATGACTTCTCCCTTCAGACAGAAAAGGAGGAACAGTGCACTGTGTACATTGCAGGAGAAACAGTCTAGACAATAACTATATCAGAGAGTGGAGTTTAAGGCAGTGAGCTGCAGTGGTCTCCATCGTAAAAAAGGGCCTGATGGGGCAGGGTGAGTGACTTTCTGTATAATTTCCCTGCTTGTATTAATTCCTTCTATGTGAATGGAGACAGGCAGAATTGGTGGGTGTACAGTTAGTGAGGATAGTTTGAACTACTAAATATTCAGTTTTCAATTAGCCAACTCTTATGCAGATATGTACAATTCTGGTTGACATAGTTAAGTCAACTCAGAGTTTTGGGACACAGGCTATTGGTTATAACTCCATGCATCAGCTTCCAGCACTCATGTTACACATGACAAAGTCACACAATGTCTTATTAATGTCATTATCCCTACCAGGAAAATACCTATGCTGTTTCAAAGTCAATATAGGTAAGTGTTCTTTCAATGTTTTTATCTCTTTAAAAAAGTCAATTATTGATAACATTTTTAAAATTTCATTTTCTTTAAATGCGTTACTGCCATAATGCCTTTAAAATTTTTTTTCATTGTTTCCTGCTTTAAGAATTTCATTCCATTTTTTTCTTAAGTGCCACTTATTCATTTCTTTATCAATTTATTTATATGTATCAGTTTAGAGCAGTGCTTCTCAACCTGTGAGGTCACAGCTCCCTTTGGGGGAATCCAATGACCCTATCACAGGAGTGACCTAAGATCACCGGAAAACACAGATATTTATACTATAATTAATATCAGAAAAATAATAGTTATTAAGTAGCACTGAAAATAATTTTATGGTTGGGGGTCACCACATCATGAGGAAATGTATTAAAGGGTCACAGAATTAGAAAGGTTGAGAACCACTGGTTTTGATCAATGTCTCCTATAGCTCAGGCTTGCTTCACAAGATGTAATTGATAATTGCTTTGAACACCTAATCCTACTTCTGCTGCCCAGTGCTGGAAAGACAGTCATGTAACTCCTTCCAGGCTGGGTCTTGACCAGTCTCTGGGAAGGAAAAATAACCAGTAAATGAATATCCTCCAAGTTTTCTAGATTTTATTGTGAATTTACTAGTGAAGTGATAAACTGTGTAAGAATTAGCGCACGCCTTTAATCCCAGCACTCGGGAGGCAGGGGCAGGCGGATCTCTGTGAGTTCGAGGCCAGCTTGGTCTACAGAGCGAGTTTCAGTACAGCCTCCAAAGCCACAGAGAAATCCTGTCTTGAAAAACCAAAAAAAAAAAAAAAAAAGAAAGAAAAAAAAAGAATTACATTCACTCACCAACTGTAAAGTAGGTGTAGTCACAGCACAAAAAGGGAGGGACAAGAAGAAGGAAGACAGATTTCCTGCCATGACAGTGGTTGTCTTTAGCAATGTGGAGTCAGGTAATCATTTAGGTGTTCCATAAATGTCATGACTGTCCATTTCTCATTTTCATGGATCAGGCAATCAAGAATCTAGATAAAGAACATAACTTTTCATAACACCAAATTACTGTAGTTACATGATTTCAACCTAAATAGAAGAACTGGATAAAATGGTGTTGCCCTGCCTAACATAACTGTATTATCCAGGTTTAAAATGGTAACCCTGAGAGAAATAGTGTGAATAGTACTTGTTTTGCTCTAATACAAATCCCTAGTCTCTGGACCACATAACCATAACTCCTGTTTCAACTTTGTAACATAATTTTTTTGGATTACATTAATTCCCCTGACTCTTTTCTGCCTCCAAGGCCTCCCATGGCCCCTTCCTTGTGTTCTCATCCATGAACTCTTTTTGTTTAACAACAGAGGTTGTTTGAATGTGTTTGGTTGCAGAATCTCCCAGCTATGAAGCAAAGGGTTGGCTATGCTGGACATTGAGTATCTAGTTGAATGTGCACATAAAAGACCCTGTGCCTTATAAGAGGAACAGGAAGTGCTCTGGGAAAGTGGAGGATTTTTACTGAACTATGAATTTCCCAGATTAGGAACCTCTCTGACTGTAGTGTGGAGGGCAAAGCTGGGAGGGCTTGTGTGGTTTGAGTCACTTGATCTCTGTTCACCCAGTAGGGTAACTGCTAATGTCCTGAAGCCCAGCAATGTTGTACTAACTAATGAGAAACTTTTGGAAGGCTTAGCCAACAGGAGCACCTGTGAGAGGTAGCATACAGGTTCTTTCTAGGATTCTCCTCTTTTTCTGCTGTGGAACCACAGTAGACCACAAGCCATGCCATGGTGAGTGTGTGGGCCACTGTATCCAGACCAGGAAAAGCAGGTTGGCTAAGCTATCAGAATCGTGACTGCTTGGACTGGGATGGACCATGAGCCAGATTGAGGTTCTGTTGGTCCCTGTGTTGACCCAGGCAGTGGACCTTGGCCTCTGAGCTTTGTTGAGTGTGGATTCCCTGGGGAGAAGGAGGTTCTGCCATCCTGGCATGGGAGACTATGAGTTGGTAATATAACTGTCCATGTGTACACACGGGCATTGCTTTTGTTGTGCAGTGGGAAGACTGATTGGAAAAGAGAAGGTCTGGTTTCTAGAAGTTCTGGATATTACATTCCACTTTTAGGTTTGTCTTACAAATTTTACAGATAGTTTAAAAACTGATAGAAAGGAGTGGATGGGCATCATCCTTTAGAAAGACAGGATTGGAATGCTTTCAACTTTCTGCTATGGACAGTCACCATGCTGTGATTCAGTGAAGTTCAGTTCCAGGGCACAAAAGGAGTTTCTGAGCTGTAGAGGTATTTCAGGTTAGTATAGTATTTTGCAGGTGAATAGGGAAGATGCCACATCTTGTAACATCATCCATGTGTCAGGAAGCAGACATTAAGTTATTCTTCACATTATTTTTTGATTGGACATCATTGAGGCTGGGTTTGCCTGAAACCACAAGGGGCACGAGAGGCTATAGAGCCATAGAAGGCTCTGGAAGAGATTGCCTACATTTGCTGGGAGGGCTCTAGAGCATGGAGTCTCTCTGTAAGAAATATCAGTAGCTAGTGGGTCAGAAGATTAACAGTTTAAGGGTCACTTTTAAATAATTTTGTTGGAGTTGTGAAATCTGTGTTTATTTAATTTCTGTACACATAGAATCATAGGTAACTGTGTTTGGCTGAGTTTCCTTTGGTATTTTGGTTAAAAGGTGATTTTCCTGCTTTTGTTCTTGGCTTTTACTCTCCATCCTCTATTCTTTTACAAATATTGTTTACATTCTTGAGTATTGTAGCTTCCCTGGTAAATATAGAAGTCATATTGTATCAATGTGTGTGCTGTTGTGTATATATATGTGTTTGCACTGAGTATTCTGCGTGTTTCCATTTTGCATGCAGCTTTGGTATCAGCTGTCCTTTTATAAATTGTTTGGCATTGTCTTTGGATTGTATTCAATTTATGGTGCAAATTGACCATAAACAACATCTTAATAGTAATGCATCATGTTCCCTAGGATCATTTATATACTTTATTTATTTATGTGTTGTTAATCTGCGAAAGACTTTTAGAGTTGTGGATAAAAAGTATTATTGGGCTTGGCAGGTGACTCAGCACAGGTCAGATCCCAGCACCCAAATTAAGAGACTCATAACTACCTGCTACTCAAGGTTCAGAGTATCTGATAGATTCTTTTCTGGTGTGTCACCTGTACACAAATGGAAGACATTCTCTCTAACATACAAACATACACATAAAAATGGACAAATTTGTTTTCAAAATTTCTTTTGACTCATAAAGTAATAAGAGCAAAACAAGTTTTTTAGGTGTATAATAGAAATCATATATTGGTTCTTTAGAAATCTGTTATCTTGCATTTGTTTTGGAGAAGTTTTCCTTTGCTCATCCTGATGTATACTTAAGTCAATCATCACTCATAGAAAAGTGTTCCTGACGTTTGTGAGTAAGAAGGTAGATATGCCTAGTTAGTATAACAAAGGTCATCACACAAGGTTCACACTCCGAATTCCCAATTATAGTCTTAAGCCTATCCCACCAGGTCTGCTCATCTGTGCAATGTATTTTAGCTGATGTTCACGTTCAGTCTCTAACAGAAGTCTCTGATTCATGGGTCATGATCCTTGAGGATATGCTCTATCCCTAGGGTTGATCAAGGTGATGTCTCTTCACATGTCTATAGCAGAGCTTTGGTCTCTGTTTATATACTGTCCAGTGGATGTCATGTGGTTCTAAGACCTTGTTTGTGTATCTAGAGTGAGTGATACCACTAAGGTCTGGTTATCAGATACAGCCTTGGGTGTAGTGGGGTTCATGATTAAGCTGTTTTCACATGTCTAAAAGGTCTTTTTTTAACATCTAATAAGATGATCATGTTTTTTTTTCTTTCAGTTTATTTCTATGACAGATTTTCCTATGTTGAACCATCCATGCATCTCTGCGATGAAACCTACTTTATCAGGGTGGATGATTTTTTTCATGTGCTCTTGGATTTGCTTTGCCAGTATTTTATTGAGTATTTTTTCATCAATGTTTATGAGGAAGATAGGTGTGTAATTCTCTTTCTCAGTTGAGTCTTTGTGTGGTTTGGGTATCATGGTAACTGCAGCCTCATAAAAATTATTTGGCAATGTTTCTTCTGTTTCTATTGTGTAGAACAAATTCTGGTATAATTCTGCATTGAAACCATTCAGCCCTGGGCTTTTTTTTTTTTTTTTGGATACTTTTAGTGACTTCTATTTCTTTAGGGATTATAGGTTTAATTTTGGTATGTGCTACCTATCAAGATAATTGTCCATTTCTTTTAGATTTTCCAATTTTGTGGAGTACAGGTTTTTGAAACATGGCCTAAAGATTGTCTGGATTTCTTCAGTGTCTGTTGTTTTATCCCCCTTCTTATTTCTAATTTTGTTAATTTCTATATCTTCTCTCTGCCTTTTAGTTGGTTTGGATATCTTGTTGATATCACTGATTCTTGGTATTGTTCTTTATTCCTATTTTACTGATTTCAGCCTGGAATTTGATTATTTCCTGCTGTCTACTCCTTCTGGATGAGTTTCTTTCTTTTTTTTTTCTTCTAGAGCTTTTAGGTGTACTGTTAAGTCACTAGTGTGAGATTTCTCCAAATTCTTTATGTAAGCACCTAGTGCTATGAACTTTCTTCTTAGCACTGCTTTCGTAGTGTTCCCTAAGTTTGGATATGCCATGGATTCATTTTCATTGAATTTTATGAAGTCTTTAATTTCTATTTTTATTTCTTCCTTAACCCAGTGGTAATTCAGTTGAGAGTTGTTCATTTTCCATGTGTTTGTATGCTTTCTTTAGTGGGGTTATTCCAAATTTTTTTCTATCTGTTGAGATTTGCTTTGTGACCAAGTGGACAATTTTAGAAAAGATCCCATGATGTGATGAGAAGAAGGTATATTCTTTTGTTTTTGGGTGAACTTTTCTGTAAATATCTGTTAAGTATCTTTAGGTCATAGCATCTATTATTTCCCTTATTTCTCTGTGAAATTTCTGTATAGCAGACCTGTCCACTGGTGACAGTGGGATGTTGAAGTTTCCCACTATTAATATATGGAGTTTGATGCGTGTATTTGGGGCATAAATGTTAACAACTGAGACTTCATTTTGATGGATTTCTTCTTTGAATATGAAATGTCCTTCTTCAGTTCTTTAAATTAGTTTTAGTTAGAAGCTTATTTTGTTAGATATTAAGGTAGCTACACTGGCTTGCTTCTTAGTTCCATTTGATGGGAAATTCTTTTTCTGAGTCTTTATTTAGAGGTAATGTCTGTCTTTCAAGTTCATGTGTGTTTCCTGTATGCAGCAGAAGAATGGATCCTGTTTTCATATCCATTTTGTTTGTCTGTGTCTTTTTATTGGTGAATTGATATTAAGAGATATTAATCCCAGTGATCAATAATTCTTGTTGGTTTTTGATTTTTGTCATGGTGGTGATGGTGTGTGTGTGTGTGTTTCCTTTTTCTGTTTTGCTGTTGTGATAGTATTTATTGCCTGTGTTTTTGTAAGCACAGCTAACTTCCTTGGGTTGGATTTCTCCTTTTAGCACTTCCTGTATGGCTGGGTTTGTGGGTAGGTATTGCTTATATCTGGTTTTGTTATGAAATATCTTGTTTTCTCTTTCTGTGGTCATCTAAAGTTATGCTGGGTGTAGTAGAAGAGAATTTCTGGGTAAACTCGGGGCAGTTTGGGTGGGTGGGTAAGATGGCAACAAGTAGTGTCTTGTTGGCTTGGTTGGGGGTGGAAGTAATGGCAGAGTAATTAAAGGTATATCTAGATGGGGGCATTTTGGGGATAGGGAGGAACCTGGTGCTAGGGAAACACCCAGGAATCCACAAGGATTACCCCAGCTAAGATTCTTAATAATGGTGGATATGTACCCTGAAATGGCCATCCCCTATAATCAGATCGGTGACTAGTTGTCATCAGAGAGCCTTCATCCAATAACTGATGAAAGCAGATGCAGAGATCCACAGCTAAGCACTGGGTTGAGCTCTGGGAGTCCTGCTGAAGACATGGAGGAGTACCCAGGAGAATCAAGGTCAAAACAGGGGAACCCATGGAAACAGCTCACCGGAGCTCATGGGAACTCATGGACCCTGGACTGAGAGCTAGGCATAGGACTGAAGTAGGCCCTCTGCATGTGTGAAAATTGTGTAGCCTGGTCTGTTTGTGGGGCTCCACACAGTGGGATCACGAACCATGATGGTTTGCCTCCTCCAGCTTTGATGCAGGGGGAGGAACTTGGTCCTGCCTCAACTTGATGCCATGGTTTGTTGACTCCTATGAGAGGCCAGCCCCTTTCTTTAAGTGGGTGGAGGAGGAGTGGATGGGGGCTACATGGGAGGTGAGGGGAGGGAGTGGGAGAAGAGGAGGGAGGGGAAACTGTTCAGTATATAAAATAAATGAAAAAATTTAATAAAGTTAATGAACAAAATGAAAAGGTATCAAAGTTATAATACTGTGCGAGAGGTACCTTGGCTGGTGGGTACAAACCACAGCAGGTAAGGGACAAACACTCCCTGCAGACAGAGCTTACAGGCAGTTTTATTAGAGGAAGACCCCCTTGAAGCAATACACAGTGCCAATGGGGACCACATATAAGAATTATTAACAGTTACATATCAATCTTCAACTTTGGGCCCCAACAAGAAAAGGAGAAAGCATACACTATATATTAAAATTAATAATAAATAAATGGTGGAAAATAAATCTCAGGCATTAAAACATACAATTATTAAGCAAAATAATTGTGACAATACAGATGACAGGATATTTATATTTTCTCCATGTTTTGTATGTACCAAGTTGAAAACACATTCAGAAAAAAAAAGGAAATACAATCAATCCCAAACAAAAATGTTGTTAATGGTGTCATAGTAGGGTTGGAGCTGTAGGACACTGAGCTAAGCCAATCATTACATAGCATCATCCTAACCTGGCCAGTGTCAAGTAGGAAAATGTGGTTCTTGGCCATTGGAGAGGTTTTTCTTATTTTATTAATGAAAAGAACTCAGAGTCCAATAATCTTCATAATTAGCAGCTAATGTTTCTTCTAAGTCTTCTCATTTTTGTTACCATTATGAACAAACAAATGATAAAAATCAGGAATCATGATTTATGCCATATGGTGTGATAGTCTGTCGAGGATGTTGAGGCTGGGATGTGAGTTCATTTTGCTCTGTGGAAAGAAGACTCTGATATACTTTTAATAATGAACTTATTCAGAGCTGAGGGGGTCTCCAGCCTCAGTGGACTGAAGTTCTTTCCCTATGGTCAGGGAATTTTACTTTTCTCAATATTTATACTTTAGCCAGTTGATTACCATATGCTCAGAACAACTTGAATGAGGCTTCCAAAAATACGAGGCCAACTGCAAATCTTGATTCATTAGGTACCAGTTATGTCTATTAACAGGCATTACTTTAACATGGTGATATCCCATTCAAGGAGTTCAGAAATAACAGAGGTGACCCTCCTATTCAGTTTTCTTTTTAAATGACTTGGTGATTGTTACATTAGCTGTGTTGTCAGTATAACTTTCTTTTTATACATTTATGGTATATTTTAGAACACGGTGACCTGTGTTGATGTTCATTTTGACTTCATTCAGGAATAGTGGGCTTTGCTGGATCCTTCCCAGAAGAATCTCCATAAAGATGTGATGGTGGAGACTATAGGAACCTCACTGCTATAGGTAAGACTATGAATTTTCCTTCACATTTTAAAATAAGGGGGCAACTGTCTCTTGGTTATTGATGCTCTTCTGTAATTACAGTTGTAACTGAGCAAGGATGATGTGAATGAATCAGGCATGTTTCTAAGGGTCAATGAAAGTAATAACTTAAATGATGCACAATTTCCAATAATATATCAGACATTTTCTGGTACTATATTTTAGGCTACACAGAAGGTAGTTTTAATGTACAAGCTAATACAAATGTGCCTCAGAACAAGTTTTAAGGTGTCTGGAAGTTTTAAAGAAAGTAACAGTATAATTAAAGTGCATTGATGATTATTAAATTCTCAAAAAACCATATACCTCAGTGTCAAGTAGGTGAATTGTGTTCACAAGGCATAAATTTAAGAGAACAGACAAGGAAACCATGCCTTAATAGATACCACCATTTCAATCATAGCCTCATGATAGCTCTGCTGTGTACCTGCCAATCCATTTAGTTTCATACCACTCATGTTACATAAGGTATCCTCATTGAATAAGTCAAAAATACATGTCCAAAACCCTCTAATAAACAAATAGTTCATAGTAAAGCTTGTGTTATTCACATATTTGTGACTTTGCTAATTTTAGTGAGAGGAGGAGTCAAGAGACAAGGGTGGCTGTTGTGGAGAAACCTTATTATCTATACCATATGTCCACGAGGAATAGAAAGTTAAATGGTGTGAATGTAATGTGGACACCTTTTATTTGTTACTCTTCCTTTATTAAGTATATCATATGACACTCTTGATATAAGCCATAAGAACATAGGGATATCTAAAAAAGCAACATAGCCCACTCTCTCTCTCTCTCAGAACAATTAGAAGATATGTAGCAGCCCCCACTTTGAATAGATTTGTTGAATGTGATGCAAGTTATAAGTAATTGCTTTTCCAGCTTCATTGGAAATATATCAACAAACTCACACTTCAGAAAAATCGTACTAGGAATATGTATATACTTTTGTCCTGGTTCATTTTACAAATGTAGTATGACTCATACTATAGTAAAATACATGAGTGGAAAACTCTCATATATAAAAAAGATGCTATATGAGTATTAGATATATTAGAACAAAGAGTAGAATTTTTCAGTTAATATTTTGATTTTCTAATCATCAACTCTTAATTTTCATTTGTTATAAACATGCAATACAAAGTGGCAGAAGAATTTTTAAGGCCCCTTTGGGAATTGTTGAAATGTTTTATTTAATACAAGATAAATTCCATTGATTTTGTAATAAAATTTAAGTCCTAAAAAAAGATGAAATAAATGTGAACCATCATAGGTATATTCAAAGATCCAAACCAACCTTAATGAAGGGGAACAGCATGAGGATAAACAGTGATAAAACCTTAAGATCTGATTATTCTTTATAATTAGACCAAATTGTAAAATTAATTCATACAGTTATATTCAACAGTGGAATGGATGTGTTAAAATTTTAGTACTGTGCCAATAATCATTGCAGGCATGAAAGAAGTCATACTGGAGAGAAACCTGAATATTCTCGAGGTGTTAAAGTCTATGTATATCATAATCATCCTAAAAGGCATGAAAGAATCAATAATGTAGAGAAACCTTATGAATGGAATGAATGTGGGAAAGCCTTTTTACAACAGAGTTATATCCAACTTCTTAACATTACCCTTACTGGGGAGAAAGACTATGAATGTAATCAATGTGCCAAAGGCTTTACACAGGACAGTATTCTCCAAAGACACAAAATAACACATACAGGACAGAAACCGTATGAATGTAGTCCAAGTGATAAAGCCTTTCACATCACAGTATTCTCTTAATGCATAAAAGAACATGTATTGGAGAGGAACTCTATGAAAGTAATGTTGTAAAGCCTTTGTACATCATTGTAGTCTTTGAAATTATGATAAAAAATCATACTGCAGAGAAACTATAAATGTAGTCAGTGTGGTAAGGTTTTATACTTTGTGATGGTATACAAGAGTAAAACTTTTAGTGTTCGATCATTCTGTTAAAGTCTGTTCATATCACAATAGTTTCTGATGAGCCGAAAAAACTTGTACAGAAGAAAGTCTGGCTATAAAGGATCTCTAGGCAACACGTTTTAGGTACACAAGAGCATTCCGGAGAAAATAGTTTCACTGTGTCAACTATCTGTTTAAGCAGTATGATGCCCGTATTTATTTTGTTTGCACTTGAAACTCATATGGACAAAATCCTACAAATTTAAATGATAAAGTAACCCTTTTAGATTTCCTCTTCAATGACATGAAATCACTAATATATAGAACTTTATGAATATTTATATGTGCCTTTTCTGTTGTGATATAGCATAATGTCTACATCACCTCATGAAAGAATTTAATCTGACTCTTGGTTCCAGAGGGTTACAGGATCACCATGAAAACAGCAAGGCAAAAGGTGTCAGACATGGCAGATATAGCAGGATGCTAAGATCTCACATCCTCAACCTGCAGAATGAACCAGACAGTGGGAACTGGAAATGGTATGCAGATGTCAATTATAAAACCATACCCCCAGTGACATATTACCTCCAGCAGGGCATCATTTCCTTAATCATCTCAAATGATACCACCAACTGGGAAGTATTGATTTCTCTGACTTCAGAACTACATGCTTGCTTTTTGTTATATGAAGCAGATCATGATACAGAAAAACTGTAGGTAAGCCTTTATCAGCCTCAACATCTGGGTTATAGGAATGAATACTTTGAAAAGAAAAATAGTCATGATTGGAAACGTTTAATGATTTTTGTTAATTTTTATTTTGTTATGTCATTGTGTCTTTAGATATATGCATGTTCTTAGAATGGTAAATCCTTTAGTCTTCATGTATTTTTTTTTAACAGAAATCACAGAATGTTGTCAAAAACCTCACCTTGATTCTGGGCAGGGATATGTCTTAACTGCTTGACCCTGTCTTTATCCCTCTCAATATTTTAGACCTTGGTCCTGGAAATGAAGTTTTAACTGCTTGATCATATCTTTAGCCATATGGTATTTTAAACCTTTATATGTCATCTTGACATTAGGAAACAGGGAGGAATGAGAAAAATCCTGTTCATGTAAACAATATGGTAAAGAATTTACATATCACAGTTGACTTCAGTTTCAATGGAAAGAATCTGTTTCATCTATTTCATTCAAGTATGATGGCAGAGATCACAGCATTGTAGTTTCTGATCTTGAAAGTTTTGTATGAGGTATTAAAATGTCCTGTATATGTGGCAAATCCACATACTGAAGTTTATTTGCTAGTTCATGTATTCCTTCAGTTTATCTGCTGGTTCAAATATTCCTTCTTTGACTCTGTTCATCTTCTGTTGTGCTTTCACTTGATGATAGGCAATTTTTTTACTGAAATGTATAGAATGGGTTGATTATTATCTAAGTGGATCATTGTTAACTATTAGGTAGTGTTTTACTTTTCACATAAAGGTCTGTGAAAGGTTGATGGCTTCTTGTTCCTGTTTTTTTTTTATGTTTCCACAAATTTCCTTCAGATGTCATTGTTTGTTATCCATCCTGGTTTGGATGTCAGTACTTTGTCATGGCTACCTTTGAACTCCTATGTCTCATGTTTCATCCTCATGAGTTCAAGACCAAGGGTAGATGATGTATCCCCGATGTGTGCTCCTTTGTTGACATGTTTCAACAATGTTAATATTAACATGCTTAAGAAGGTAAGAAAATACTTCATGTGTCTATCCAAAGAATTGTTTACATTTTACATCTGTCTGTTAGAGATATAATTAAATAGAATAATCATCGATCAACTGTGTATTTAAAAACATAGCTTGTTGTACTATGGATATGTATAGTTTTCAATATCCTGCTTCTTCATGATGCAGTTTTTTTTGTTTTTTTTTTTTTTTTGCTTTTTGAGACATGGTTTCTCTGTGGCTTTGGATGCTGTCCTGGATCTAGTTCTTGTATACTACGTTGGTCTCGAACTCACATAGACCCACCTGCCTCTGCCTCCCTAGTGCTGGGAATAAAGGCGTGCATCACCACTGCCCGGCCATGATACAGTTTTGATTCATTTGGCGCTCATCTTTAAGTATTGCTTCCTAATGGAATTATCTTGAGATGCCATATATTGTTAAGATAGATTTATTTTTAAAAAACATGTCTGGTGTGTGTGTGTGTAAAATGTGATTATGGCTTAGAATGTGTAACATATATGTTTGTGGGTTTTCTTTTAGCCCTTTCAAGGTCACGTTGTCAGCATTATACACCACAGACCTTTTTCCTTCTAAGGCAGCTCACTATTGCTAAAATAAGCTTAGAAACATCATGTCCTCTGCCTTCTCCCCCCCCCCCCTCATGCCCTTCCCTTCCCTGTCCTCTGCTCAGGTACATTTGATGAAGTAACACAGAGTTTGTATGTTCATCTGTGCTGTCTTCCCCAATTAATGCTAGTGTAAAAGCAGCCATTGTAGAACTTGTTCCACCTGACACCCCAAATAAAATCAATACAAAGAGGAGCGTGTGCTGCTGCATGTGAATTTGACTATTTTTTATTTTTGTAATTTAATTATATTTTTCTTCATAGAACACATGCCAAGACAGTGAAGTAGGGAAATATGTGAATTGTGGGTATGTAAACAGAAGATACAACCAGAAAGAAAGGTTACAAGACAAGAAGAATGCCCTGAAACATTCCTCTGCAGTGACCTCTTTGAAGATCTCAGTATTGAGAAAGAGATATGATCCCAGAAAGGTAAGTAAACACAAAGTGGGTTGGGGTCGAGGTCGGGGTTGGAGTCGGGGTCTGCGACGGGGTCAGGGTCAGGATAAGGGTCAGGGTGGTTAGGGTCAAGGTCATGGTTAGGGGGGTTAGGGTTTGGGTTCGGATTCGGGTTCGGGTTAGGGATTCAGGGTTAGGAGTAGGTGTGAGGGTTCAGGTTCAGGTTAGGGATTCAGGGTTAGGAGTAGGTGTGAGGGTGAGGGTGAGGGTGCGGGGCTAGGGTTATGGATTCAGGGTTAGGGTTAGGGTTTAGGGTTTAGAGTTAGCTTTAGGGTTTAGGGTTAGGGTTAGAGGGTTAGGGTTAGAATGTTAGGGTTAGAGGGTTAGGGTTAGAGGGTTAAGGTTAGGGGTTAGGGTTAGGGTTAGAGGGTTAGAGGGTTAGGGTTAGAGGGTTAGGGTTAGAGGGTTAGGGTTAGGGGTTAGGGTTAGGGTTAGGGTTGACCTTCAAAGTCATGAACTTTCTTTGAAGGGAATGATCCCACCAGTCATGCCGTTCCCTCATCCCACCCACCTCTGTCTGATGGCATCCCTGTGTCCCAGACCTTTTAATTACTCACTTGAGTTCATTGTTTAAACATCCTAGCAATTTGTTGGCCTATTGTTTTGAATGGATGGCCAAAATCCACCCATGAATGTGAATGCTCATCATAGTATTTTCTGAGACTATTGGCTATTTTCAATAGCTCTTTCACCTGGGCCTCCTGGTTTTGACCAGTTTCTTTGTTATTAAAAGCACAAACTCACTCCTTGCACTTTTTAATTATGCTTTTAAGGGCTTTGTTCTTTGTGTTTCTAGTATAATCACCAAGGTCTCTATCCCCTAGATCTTCCTTCCGTGTAAACAGCACAATCATATATCTCATAATTTTTTTCTTGAAACATGGCCTCCAGTTGCTCCACTGCTGCCTCATCTTCTTGGGTGAACCGCCCCAGCTGAAGCACCAGAATAAAAACCTTCATTCCTTCTTCACAGAGAGACAAGCAGTATTTGACCTCCTCCTTTAACCTGGAAGGATCCTTTTGAATACCAGGCATCTGGCTGAATGATGGAGTGTCCACAACCACAATATCCTGCCTGTCCACTGTCATCATGTCACTCTGGCTTCTACTGGTGATGGGCTGAGCTCCTAGTTGAGACAGGAAGGCAGGTCTCCCCAAGATCGTGTTTCCAGTTGCACTCTTTCCAGTCCCACTCCTTCCTAGGAGTATGATGTTTAGGAGTTCTGTTGCAGAGGAAAATAGGAAGGACTCATGACTGTGGGATGATGCAGAACTCATCTTTCCAAGTTACTCACAGCACTAGTTTCATCACTAAGCTCGCCAGGCACCACCCAACAGGTCTACCCCACACAGGAGACTGGCTTGCCCAGTTCATGTGGTCTATGAACTCAGCAGAGGGACTTGGGCAATCCTCTGCCCATTGCTCATCATGAACATAGCATACCTCCTGTCCCTGAATCTACTCTGCTCCCTTTTCCAGGACCTCTCCTTAAGAAACAGTGGCCTTATCTTTGCCTCTTATCTTTGCTGGATCTAGTCCACACATTTCATTTCTATCTTCTGTTCCTAGTGTAACTAAGTCTCCCTATTGTTAACTCCTAATACAGATAGCAAAAATGTCTTTGAAGTATTTGAAAATCTACCCTATACAATTAGATTTTGGGGGGGGGGAAATCGCAGTTTCTATCAACATATTACCAGTTGTGTTGGTTATCTCATACTAAAATGCATTAAAAGCCTGATTAATCTTACTGTGTCTTTCAATAATGAGCCAAAGGAACTTCCTGATTAAAATAAATGCCAGTAATACTGTTCTTTGTGGTGTCAGTGATAGAAGAGAAGGTTCCATGTAAATAGTACTTGTAGGTGCAAAGATCTGATTATATTTACTTTCAGGTGTTCCTGATGCCTTTCTACTTTGCACTGTGTCCCTCCTCAATGGTTCTCCATCATGAACGAACCCCTTATCAAGTCACTAGTGACTACTTCAAACCAAAGAGGGAGGAAATCCCATCTTGGTCTTCCTTCCAGGACAACTAGTGAGCCACTCATGCTAAACTCAGTCTCATAGCTATGCTTAAAGGGTGAAAATAAATCAATGATCTATTTGCATCACGTACACACATTCAAGCACACACTCACACATGCATGCTCCAGCACTCATGTCATGTATTCCAAACCCTACTTCTGTATTTAGGAAAGACTCAGTTGCCAAGTCTCTCTGAAATCTGATCCAACCTTTCTGCCATTTGAAGCCCTGTTTCCATCAGGACCGTTCTCATCTCCTCCTAAGAGGCATGCTCCTCTATATGCACAGAGAGACCAGAGGACAACCACTACTGTCATTCCTCAGCCACAGTCTACCCCTGTTTTTAGAGACAGAGTCTCTCACTAACCTGGAACATGATTAGTAAGAAAGGCTGGCCAGCAAGTCTTAGAGATCCACCATGCCTGGCTTTTTTGACATGAGTTCTGGGGACCAAACTCAGATTTTCATGCTAGTTAAGCAAGTAAATCATCTTCTAAACTCTACTTACACACTATTATTGTTTCCCATATCCAAATCAGGGAAGAATAAATAATCCAGAGAAAGTTCTGGGGTAAGAGAACAGAAAAGCAAACAAGTGACCAGAAGCAACAGCAGACTGGAACAGCAAGAAGACTAGGAGAGGTCTCCATGCTGGAGAGGTGGTATAGGGGTCAGGAGGAATTAAAAGCCAGCCATGAGAGTATACATTAAAAAACACACAACTTTAGGAAAATTTAAAGAAGAGACCAAAGTATGGTTTTGAGACAGGGTCTTATTTAAACCAGGTTGGCCTTGAACTCACTACTTAGCCAATAAACTTGAACTTCTGGTCCTCCTGCCTCTACTTCCCAAGTGTTGGGACTACAGGAAAATACCACCACACCCAGCTGATGACCTGCTGGGGATCAGATACCCTAGTGCATGCTGGGTAAACACTGTACTGAGCTACATCCCCAACCTGGTCCTTTGCTCACCCTCTGCCCTTCCTTCAGAGAGCTCTAGATCATGCCTTACATCCCAAGTGCTGGATACAAAGCCATTCCCTATGCTTAGCCTTACCTTTCTCCCTGAAAATACAAGGCTTGTTGCCGTTGCACTGCACCATGCTCTCAACTTGGCCCAGGAATTTGTTCACCTGCCTCCGCTCCTCCTCCAGTCACCCGATAGTTGAAAGCGGTATATCTTTTTTCAAATTTCAAGACGAGCTCCTGGAGATTGCTGTTTTTATTTATAAATTCATCTAGAGCCTGATCCTCTAAATCTTCTTTCCTGGTAAAGAGAATAATCGTGAACTTGGTGAATTTTTCTCCAAAAATATTTTTGACGGGGTTGAACATATTGTCATCACTCTTTATCAAAGAGTTCAGTAGTGTCACCAGCAGGAAGACATGGGGGCCCAGAGAGACGTGCTCCTTGACTTCAGATGCATCAGGCTTCCACGATGAGATCTCTGGAGAATCAATAACCAGAACTTTCTTCCCATTCCAGATCCTGCTGCGGGATGAAAAGACCTTGGTGACCTGCTGCTCACTGTACTGAGTCTTAAAGGGCCGCTTCCCCAGAATGCTGTTCCCTGCTGCACTTTTCCCAACACCACACTTCCCCATGAGGAGGACTCTCAGTTCTGGCATCTCTACATCCTGATGTGGTCCTGGAATCTGAGGCTGTCTCATCTTTGGACATGTGAGACAAGAAAAATAAAAATGGATCCAGTGTCTCCTCCTGCAGTTGGATACAGATGTGAACTGCTCTAGAAAGCCCCATCCCTCTGATTGAGCAGGCCTCTATTCTCAGGCAGAACCCAGACACCCAAGTAGAAACCATGGGAAGGAGGAGAGAACTAGAAGGAATACGGGAAGCCTAGGTTTTCCAGAAGAATGACTATGCTAAATTGAACTTCTACTGGAACTCAGTCTTCAAAAGTGAGTATTATAGTATGAGGTCATGGACTAAGGCAAGGGCTGTGACAATCTGATTATAAAATGCCCCTTAGCCTAATACATAATAAAATATGTGAGTATATTTTTTTAACATGTGTGAAACTCAAAAGCATGCTTAATGGAAGAAACCAGACACAAAACTGACATCTGTATGGCTCATTATCTGAAGTTCAGAACAGGACAAATTATCTATGTTTATAGGAGTCTGGGGATTGGTTGTCTATGGGAGGAGGCTGTAAGAACTGTTGTTCTTCACAGAGGAGAGGATATTATTTTTGCATTAACTTTCTAATTAACACACAAAATAAATTTTTGACCATTTGTGTTTATTGTTGCATTATTTACAATAAAATAATTAGTCTGGAAACCATCAACAATTAAAAAGAAAATGTGATATGGGGTCTAGTGTGACATCTCAGATGCTAAACAACTTGCCTTGAAAGAATGAGGGTTCTAGCTCAATGTCCAGAACCCATGAAAAAATTAAAAATCCAAGCATGGTGGTACACTCTTGGAATCCCAGCACTATGGGAGCAGAGGCCGGAAGATCCCTAGAGCACAGGTAGTCTTGTCTACAGGGTGAGTTCCAGGCCAAGACTGGATCTTGTCTCATTAAAAAAAGTGCATGGTGCTGGGTGGTGGTGGCGCACGCCTTTAATCTCAATACTCGGGAGGCAGAGGCAAGCGGATCTCTGTGAGTTTGAGGTCGGGCTGGACCAACAGCCTCCAAAACAATACAGAGAAACCCTGTCTCGTAAAACCAAAAAAAAAGTGCATGGTGCCTAAGGTGATACACAAGGTTGTCCTCTATCCTCCACATTTACACAATACACAAACATGTTCACACTTATCTGCAAGCACCTATGCACATTTACACAAATGAGAACACTCACCCTCAAAAATAGTGTGTGTGTGTGTGTGTGTGTGTGTGTGTGTGTCTTATTTGACTATAAAGAAGAATAAAATCATTTCTGGAGAGAACTAGAAAACAAAAAAATGAGTCCTTGCTATGTCACTTTGGACAAAAATGTTCCTTTCTGTCTTCCAGAGCACATAGGGTAGAATATCCCAGGCTGTTGAAAAGGTGAGAGAAGATAACATCCCAGCAGTCTCTGGAAACTTGACAGGCATAGATCAGCTACAGAGGGTTCATGGTTGAGGTCAACCTGAGTCAGGCTTTGAATCCTGCTCCCTCACACCTTCTCCTTGCCCTCACACTCTACACATAGGACAGAGCTCCTCACCCTACTGTGTGGAGGAAGTCCTGTGTATATGTCAATAAAACACTGCTGGCCAATAGGAATCTAGATATGTGGGACTAGGAGTCCAGAAGGACTAGGAGTCCAGAAGGACTCTGGGAAGGAGAAACACAGAGAGTCGAGATGTAACACCATGGGGTAGGAAGCCCAGAAACTTCTCCGGTAAGAGACATATTTAGATTAACAATTATGGGGTAATTACTTAAGTCAGAGCTAGCCAGTAAGAAACAAGCAAGGCCAACAGCTTCATAATTTATATAGTCTCCTGTGTGTTTATTTGGGATTGATGCGGTTCTAGAACCAGACTGGCGGGAAGGTTTCTCTCAAGAAAAAAAGCTTCTCTTTACACTACTGGCCATGCATGCTGCTTATTCAGGCTTCCATACAAATATGACTGCTTCTCAAGAGCACCCGCAAACTGTCCCCACAACCACAAAAGCCAAGTGCCATGCACTTTCTTTTACTTAAAGAGTATTATAATCCTAGTCAGAATGGCTATCAGGAATACAAAATGACATCAAATGCTAGTGTGGTTATGGGGGAAATGGAACCCTTATATTCCGTTTGTGGCCAGAAAGTGGTACAAACACCTTGGAATTAAATCTGGAGGTTTCTAAAACAATAGAAATAAAACCACCCTCTA